TGTGTGTGTGTGTGTGTGTGTGTGTGTGTGTGTGTGTAAGATCCACAAGTGATTCTGATGCAGTCAAAGCTGAGAACTACTATTTTAACCCTTCCCTGGGCCTCTCTTAGTCTTTCCTTCTCTCACTATAGTTTGTTCAAAGGGGATATTACTACCCAGAGTAGTTATTGTCTCACCTCCTTAAAGTTCATGTTGTTGATCTGGCTTCTTTCCCACAATAGTCTGGACTTTCTCTCCCATTTAGGGACCACAGCTATTCACTTCTTCCTGAGCCTGCACCCAGCTGTGACTAGCAGTTTCCCTAGCCCCAGCACCTTTGAGGAGATTCAGTTCTTCAACGGCCCTAATTACCACAAGGGCATTGATTGGTGAGACTGGGATCCCTTGGAATGCTTCTCAGAGGAACACTCCCTTCCCCACAGATACCCCATTCCAGCTTCCACTAGCACAGCTCACTCTGCAAATTCTCTGCCTTTTGTCTGTACTACTTCCTAGGTACATGGACTTCTTCCCTGTCCCTTCCAATGCCAGCACTGACTTTCTGTTTGAAAAAAGTGCCACCTACTTTGACTCAGAGGTTGTACCACGTCGGGGGGCTGCCCTCTTGCCACGAGCCAAGATCATCACTGTGCTCACCAACCCTGCTGACAGGGCCTACTCCTGGTATCAGGTGAGCCTGAAACTAGGGATACATCGGGGCTTAAGTGAGGGAGGTGGTGACTGCTAGAAGAGGGTAGGGAAACTAAACCAGTTGCTCTGGGGAAGGATTCCTATGCTATTTATTCGCTAGACCAAGAGTAGGGCAGAATAATTCTGTCAAATCACCCATCCCTTCCCTTCCTATTCCTTGTCCTTCAGCACCAGCGAGCCCATGGAGACCCAGTTGCTCTGAATTATACCTTCTACCAGGTGATTTCAGCCTCCTCTCAGGCCCCTCTGGCACTGCGCTCCCTGCAGAACCGCTGTCTTGTCCCTGGCTACTATTCCACCCATCTGCAGCGCTGGCTGACTTACTACCCCTCTGGACAGGTACGATTCCCCAGTAGCCCTTGTTGGGGTCCCCCTTCCCCTCCTCTTCCCCTCAGCCTAGAGGCTTCTAAGGAATACAGAGGGAACCACATCCCTGTCCCTTCAGTTGCTGATTGTGGATGGGCAAGAGCTGCGTACCAACCCAGCTGCCTCAATGGAGAGCATCCAGAAGTTCCTGGGTATCACACCCTTTCTGAACTACACACGGACCCTCAGGTGGGAGAGTATGACCCAGGGGAGGAGGAATCTGGGGGAAATGGGGAAGCAGGTTGACCATGTCTGTTTGGAAGAGACATGTGTCCCTGTGAGTTGGGAGAGGTAGTGTACGTTTATGGGGTTTGAGTTTCCTTTCTCCCTGCCAAAGAGTGGCCTCTTCCTGTTGAGCAGGTTTGATGAAGAGAAGGGATTCTGGTGCCAGGGACTTGAAGGTGGTAAGACTCGCTGTCTAGGCAAGAGCAAAGGCCGAAAGTACCCAGATATGGACACTGAGGTGAGTAAAGCGTGGGACAAGGTATCCCTCTCTGCCTCTAAGATCTCATCCTTGTCACACTCCTTACCATTTCTGCCTCCATTTTTCTCCTATTAGTCCCGCCTTTATCTTACGGATTTTTTCCGGAACCACAATTTGGATCTGTCGAAGCTGCTAAGCCGGCTTGGACAGCCAGTGCCCTCATGGCTTCGGGAAGAACTGCAACATTCCAGTCTGGGCTGATGTCCGGGCCTCCTGTACCAGCAAAAGCCCCCTAGTTTGCTAAAGGGCAAGCCCAGAGCAGGGCCCACAAGGGGGTAAGAGTGGCCCAGCCCCTACCCCTTCTACCTCAGTGGCCCCCAGGCCTGGGATGGCTGAGAAGGGAAGGGCAGTCCTTTCCCATAGCTCTGGGGTCTTATAAAGGGGCTTCCCTTGATACCCCACCATCATGGTACTAGGCACCTTTGACCCATGTTCTTGGAAGGTGGGCAGGAATGAAAGGGTCCAGGCAGGGTGTAGAGGAACATATTAATCCAATGATTTCCCTCTTTATCCTCAGCAGTCTATCTATACCTGACTAGACTATGGGAGGGACCCCCTACCGTGGGATCAGTGGGATCTACCTGTGGCCCGGCCTCCCTAATGTCATTCACATTGAATGGGGATGAGGCCGGACAGTGGCTCATAGAGCTAAGTATGAGCCCTAGCTGTGGGCTAGAAATGTCCTTAATAAACATCCTTATTTTTCTGTTTTGTCTGCCTCACTGGAGTGGGAGAAACTTAGACTAAAGCAAGTTATCAGTCTCTTCCCCACCCCGATTCAAAGCTCATCTGCACATGGAGGGAAAGAAGGCGAAGGCCCAGGCAGACTAGAGTAAAAAAGGAGTTTATATATTTATAAATGCCAAATAAATACCAGAGGCCACCCAATGCCCCCTCCCAGACAGGGCTGTCTCCCCCAACCCTAGGTTTCTAGGGTCTGAGACATCTTGGCCCCAAGCTACAGCCCAAGAGCGGCTGCCAGTCTGGGCTACCAGAGAACTGAGTGGGGATGATCTGTCCAGCCAAGATTCACTCCCTCTGTGTGAGGGACCCCCATAGCCACAGGCCTGTGTCCCTGTATAGGACCCTAGAGGGGCCAGACTCATGGGGAGAAGGTGGTCATCTCGAGTGAGACCCGCTGCCACAGCTCCTTGGTCTGTTTGCTGCGCTTGAGGTTCTGCAGGATGTCGTTGAACTGCATCATGCCCATGGGTGTCAGGCAGAAGGCGCTGCGGGCACTGCGGATCGCATTCACAAAGTCGTCGTAGTCGGCAGGGGTCAGGTGAATCAAGCGGTGGTGGATGTACTGGAAGAGGATGAAGCCACTAAGCACAGCACCTGGCCCATCCTCCCCAGCATGCGGGGGAATTGGTTTCCTGCCTGCCCAGGAGGGACTCCCCCCGCTCCTCCGTGCGTCCTAGGTTGTCACCTGCATGTATGCCTGCTGGCAGCGCTGCACCAGTTGGTGGAAGGCCGGGGCACGCAGGTGGTTGTGGGCATGAGCAGGGCTCAGCCGCTGCAGCGTCTCCATGACGATCTCCTGCAGCACAAACGGGCTCAGCACCCCCTTGGCTGCCCCCACACAGAACTGGTGCACGTAGTTCACTCCTGGGGGGCAGGGGGAGGGGCATGAGACGGGGGTGGCCACCTCTGCCCTAGGGACCCAACTCTCCTCTCTCAGCTCTGGCCTGGCAGAGAGCCGCCCTCCACCCCAGGAGCTGAGGTAACCCCCCACCCCCCGCGCACGCACACATACCCGACCAAGGCCTCAACTCTGAGCAAGAGCTAGGAAGGAGGTCTGGGATAGGAAGGTGAGGGAAGCGGGTGGGGGGCGGACAATGGTCCTGGGGAGGGGAGGTGTTACCCAGCTTTGCTGCCAGCCCCAGCAACCATTTGACATCATCAGTGTAGGGGGGGGAGCGGGAGAAGTTGTTGGGGTGATCATTGTGTGCTCGGCGACCCAGCATCTCCAGTGCCAGCATTCCTGGGAGAAAAGGGTGGGCACGTGGTGGGGGTACATCCTTTTCCTACTCTACCCCAACCTGGTACACCCGACCCCACAGGAAACAAATGAAGAGCTGTGGGGAGGAAGGGGTCACCGAAGAGCCTGTGGCACAACTGCAGGGGGGGGCACAGAAGGGGTCCTCCTCTCACCGACACGGTAGGCAGCGTGCAGGTGGTGTAGGCTGTGTGGGCTGACAGGCTGACTGTGTGTCTCCTCCTCGGGTGGTGGAAACCCCCCGCTCACCAGAGGGCTGGGCTGTGTAGTCAGGGCAGGCAACGAGGCACCCTGGATGGCTGGAAACGTGGATGCTGGATGGACACTGCTCACTGGGCGGGGCGGGGCGGGGGGGAACGAAAGCCATATGAGCAACTCACAGCCCACACAGGGACAGAGAGGGTTCCTCCCCCATCTCCCCTGCCCAGCGTACCTCCCCTCCATTCACCTGTTCCCTGTCCCCACAACTCACAGGCCACACTGGTGGGCAGTGGGAGCCCTGGCTCTGTGTGGTAGGGATGTACTGTGATGGGTGCCATGGAAGGGACGGGGAAAGACACAGCAGTGGCAGCAAGTGAGGGGGGAGTCACTGAGTAAGGGTACTGAGCCCCCAAGAAGGCAGGATGCACACCCTAAAGACATGGAGAAGAGAAGGAAATGATACTAAGATGTGTCTCTCCCCCTTTGGCCCACAACTGGGTGTTCCTACATTTCTTAGTTGGCCTGGGTTCCCCACACCTCCACCACCTCACCAGGACAGCCCTGTTGTTCTCCCAGAGTACCCCGCTCCGACCCCACATGAGCTCCCAGTGTTCTTCCACATGCCCAGCCCCCCCCCCCCCCCCAGCAGAACACCGGTCTCACCTGTGGGTACGCAGAGCTGGGCACAGGGAAGACGGCAGGCCGGGGCATATGAGGCATTGGGTGGGCAGGGTGAGCTGGGTGGGTGAGGTATTGAGGGCTGCAGGGCAGGTGGGGCTGTAGAGCAGTGTAGGGGTGCAGGCCAGGGGAATGACCATGCCCCAGTCCTGGACCTGGATATAAACTAGACCCCACTGAGATGACTGGCACCACTGTGGCTGCTGCTGTCACTGCTGCCGCTGCCACTGTAACCGGCTCAGTCCCTGGGCCCCCCCTGCCCTCAGGCAGCCCCCGCCCAGCCTCCCCACCTGCCCTGATCCCACCGGCACTACAGCTTGTAGCCCCTTCACGGGCTGTGGATGAGCCACCTGCTGTCTGCTCATAGAGCCAGAACCACTGGTGAGCAACCTCAAACAACACTTCGGGGTATACACCCCCACCCTTAGCCGCCTCTTCCACCGCCATGCAGGCCTTCTCCAGCATCAGGTTATCCTGGAAGGGAGGGGCACAGAGGGTTAAGGGGGAGGGGCTGTACTCAGGCATGGTTTTAAATGACATTCCAACGTGTCCCTCTGAGTTGGCCGGTTCCCGGGGAGGCATCGGAGGTCAGGGCCAATGCTCAGAGTCCGCGTCAGAGCAATGAATGCTTCACACAGATACTGAACAAACACCTGCTGACCAGCACAAGACCCAGGTTATAGTCCCAGTTCCAGACTAACTTAGCCACTCCCTCCCATCCAGTTCCACTCTCCCCAAAGCCTGCCCTAAGGATTTCAGCCTGGTGATCACCTTGGTCCCTAAAGTATAGGCCTCCATTTCCTTATCTATAAAACAGGAATAATCCTAATTTCAGAGTTACAAGGTAAAAGAAATGATGTGAAAGTGCATTAATATGTCAAGTATCACCTTATCAGGACCAACTGGATAATTTGTGAACTTCAGGATATGGGAATCAAGAGCTGGGCCGTTAGTTTTCCCCATGCCCAATGCCCCTGCCCAGATGCCTCAAAGCAGGTCCCCAGATTGCCTGTAGAAATACCTGCTCCTTGCACTGCACCAGGGCCCGCTGGATCTCATTGGGGTTCAATGCATGGGCATGAGGCAGGCAGCTCAGGGCTAGCTCCGCTGCTGCCCTCACCATATTGGAGTCTCGTGCCCGTGACGCCCTGTCAGCCAGGGATGCAACCTCAGGGGGTGTCAGGTGTCCATCCCAGCATTCTACCAGTATAGTCAGAGCTGCACTGCCAATCTCCATTGCCTGACCTTCAGGGAAAGGAGCAAAAATCAGAATGGGGTTAGTATGGGCACTGCTGGGGAGCAGGAATGGTGTCTTCTCTCCGATCAGTAATTCCACAAGGAGAAGACTCTCCACTCTATCAGTTAATGCCCCCTCCCAAACCCAAGTCAAGACACTGGGTTTACCTGTAATCCAGGAAACGTGGGAAGAATAAGTACGTGACAGCCAGTTGGGAGAAACAAAGTTGTGCAGGCCAAGGGCATAAAGCCCAATCTCGAAGGCGCAAAGATGCAGGTTGCGGTGAGGACCCTGGTGGCCCCCTGAGGAAGATGGATGTGTGAAAATGGAAGTGCTGCTGTTGCCCCCTGCCTTGATCAGCACCGTCTTCGCCAACTCGAAGTAGAAGTGTGCAGCCGCCTCTGATGGCTGATTGGGTACATGGGGGGCATGACTCTCGGGACGGCGGCCCTTGTACCTGAAGGGGCGATGGGGTAGGGACGGGGATTGGGGTTTCTCTGAAATGGGTATCCAGGTAGGTCGGGAGAGCCAAGGGCAAGTGGAGTCCCTGGGAGAACGACAGCTAGATGACACTAGGCCGGTGGCTCTGAGGGTGGGGCCAGATGAGAGGAGACGGGGACTTCTTCCACTGACCTGCCAACTTCAACGGTCTTCGCCCGGGCCCCTCCACTGGCACTGGCCCGGCGACTTCCGCTGGACGACGAGGAGCCCAGAGAGTCCGAGGAAGAGCTGCTAATGCTGTCACTGTCCTGTCCTCGGCCCCAGGAGGTGGGGGCCCAGCCCCCTCGAAGTGGCCTCCGGCTTAAGGTGGGGGAGCTATCCGACGTGGTTTCAGGGGCACTGCTGTCAATGCTGGCCATGCCTAACCCAAGACAAATCAGTCCTCAGAAGCCAGAAGTTCCAGAGTTCAGACTTCAGAAATATCCTTCCCTCCGTATCATCCCACAGGCTGATCATACCTGTGTGTTTCTTCTTAGGCCGCCCTGGGGAGCCCCAGCCCCGGCCATTGTAGCCTCCACGACTGCCAAGTGCCAGGCGGCTGGGAACCTTCCCTTCCGGCCTTGGGGTCAAAGCTGCCTCAGATGGGAGACCCTCACAGGGAGAATGTGGGGAACTTTCTAGGTGGGGAAAACAGGACATTGGGATAAGCTCAGGAAAGGGGACCCCAACATGGTTCCATACCATTCATCCCCCCTGCCCAGTGCCCCCACCTCACCAGGCACATTCTTCTCTGTGAAGCCCTCAGTGGGGCCTGGCCCAGCCCCTGCCACACTCCCTGGCTGAGCAGGCCCTGCAGAGCCCGAGGTCAGCGGTTGCAGGGCCCCTGGGGCAGATGGGCCCCCATGCTTTGAGGGAGACCTCTGGCTGGCTGTGGCTGGGCGGCTGGATGAGTAGAACGAACTCAGTGTCTGGGGCTTATGCGTCTGGCTCTCTCGGTCCAACAGTTTGTCTAAGATCTGGAGGACAGAAGCAGTGACAAGATGCCCTTTATCTCCTGACTTCTATTTCTATTACCTTCCTCTCTCTTTGAAACAGCTTAATACCACCTCTTCGGGAAGCCTTCCCCAGTTACAACCATAGGAGAACCCCGCCCCAAGATAGGG